ATTCCTGTGTTTGAAGCGGTTTGCCGTTTGCGGCGCGTTTGCCCTTGTCGGCCACCGTACAGTTCAGTTTGATCTTGGTTGATTTGTTTTCAATTCTGTGTAAAAAATTAATATAATAAACACATGAAACAACTTCTCAGTTACAGGTATTACTGATCCTCCTTCCATCCTTGTTTGAAAAACTGTGACCTGACCACATGTTTATATACACTTTTATTACCTCCACTAAATCCCAGCTCTTTGTTTATTAGTAGAATATCTCAAAAACTTCCTGTGGTGCATCGGCCAAGATAACTTTTGTGATTTTCATGTTTCTTTTCATAGTTACCAGTTGAGTAAGGAAATATGGAGAGAGAGGAGGATGTCTGACACCAAAGGTGTTTAGGAACTGTGCGAAAATTAATAAAAAGCAAGCCCAGCACAATTAATATTGTCTGTGGAACCTCTCCTTGACCCCCCCAGTATGTCAAAATAATACATGAATGGCATATTTTGTCAATTTACTAACACAAGATTGCTGAATAATAATATAATATTACTACCACTGAATGAATGAAACAGATTACTTTTGAAGGATTTGCTACCCTGTCAGGCATTTTTTTCCCTGCACATATTTACTATTATCTCATGCAAGCTCTATTTGAATGACACATGGCACACACGTATCCCAAGGTTGTCTGTCACTAATGATGAAGATTCATATTATCTAAACACTCTTTATTATTAAAAGAAATGTTACATTTCGTGGATTGTGTAGCTTTGGTGGAGCTGTGCGTCCTCTCCTCACCTCATCTGAGTGTTTTTCACTTCTCTACACTTTTGATTCAACCACTCAGTAAATTACAGCTTTTCATTTGAATAGTGATTTGAAGGTTGTGGAAAATTGATTTACATTTCTAAAGTAAAATAACAGGAAGGTTTTTTTTCTCATCTTCTTTCAAACTTATGAAGAATGCTGTTCTCTGAAAAAAAAACCTGGTCTTCAGCTTTCTGATAAATGCATTTTTTTTAGATAATCCAATGGGTTTTAAATGATGTATTCAGCTTAAGATAGAGGACAATTCTCTCAACCCATAAAGAAATGTTTTTCTGGGAAAAATAAAAATTGTCACATTTGGATATACTTGGTTTTCTTTGAAAAGGGACGATATGAGTCTTTATCTTGTAGCTCTCAACAACCCCTGAGGGAAATATCTGGCTAATAGCTTCTAAATTCTCCACTATGTTCACCTGTTGCTGTAGGAAACATGGCTAATGATTGGAAAACAGAAGAGAAAAGTTTGGACTATAAAACCAAAACATTGAGCTGAAAGATGCTAAAATTGACATATGTGATATCCTATAATAGATGATTAAATGTTGATCACCGAGATAACAGCATCAAGCTCAGTAATAACTAGAAACTTTAACAATATAATCATGAAATACTGATAGCTGTCTATTGATTATAGATTATAGACCATTACAATCTAATGCCAATACCCTAATATGAATGCTTTGTCTAGAAAATGTCCTCCCTGCCACAAACTTCAATGCTGGCTGGTTTAAATTGTTGCGAATATACTCTGACTTAAAGCAGCGAGTGTGCGCCTCTCTGACTGGGTTAAAGGTGAAAAACACATTTCCAGGTAATGTGGAAACAGTGCAACCTACGTCACGGGCCACAGTCAGCATGGTTCATTAATAACCAGGCCCAATATAACCCCTGGCATACTGTCACCTCAGTGCACATTATGTATGGGACAGCTTGTGGTATCCACTGACACAGACTGAAATACCAGTCCAGTTAGCTGACTAGAATACAATTACTAAAGGGTTTAAAATAGTTTATGATTTGATAATAAGGGAAATTAAATGAAAATAATTACACAAGAGGGAAAAGGAAATAATCTCTTCTTACTGCTAATCAACCTTGCACAAATTAAGCAAATCGTAACTGTAATTAATTGGCTATATGTAGTTTTCTATAGAGACACAGACACTTCGGTGGGTTTTGATGGAGCAGACTGGAATAAATATTGTCAACTTGTTGTTGTTTTTGCTGTTATACTAATCAAACGCGGCTTCCTTTAGTTGCTCCCTCGTCCGTGAAGCTCAACAGCTGCAGGGAGTTGAGCACCAGGGTGAAAACACGCTTTGGTTGACAGTATAAATATTGTGCTTGGATCACTGGCAAATGTCAGTGGCTGTTTCTGTCGAAGTAAGCGCTTTCTCTGCGAATTACCCATTTCTGATATTTATGTATTTGTGTGTGTGTGTGTGTGTTTCTGGGTATGTGTGCTAGTGTGGGTTGCTTTAAGGGTGTTTGTACATGAGTCAGTGTTTGTGGTATTTAAAGGAGAACTCAGCCCTGAAAGAGTGTAGGATGAACTATGGTGGCTTCGAAAAGCGCAACGGGCTCTATCTAGAGCCAGTGTACGGTTTGTCCGTTCCGGGCTACTGTAGAAACGTGGCAGCGTTGTGGCGCCGTAGAAGCAGACCGGCTCCCTCTGTAGATTAAAACGGCTTATTCTAAGGTAACGAAAACAGGTGATTGTACACTAATGAAAACATACCAATGGATAATATATTCCATCTCTGACAATAGATCCTCCTAAATGTTTCACACTGGACCAACATTTTGAATGTCAAACCTTTTTTAAGTAGTGGTGCTATGTTTCTGCTTCTTCTTTACTTAAATGTGCATTCATTGATGTTTTTGGCCACTTGGGGGCAGTGCAACAAGCTGTAAACATAATATTGATATTTAGACATAACCTATTTAAGTTGATCTGGCAGCAACATTAGCAATCATTTGGGGGTCCAATATTAACAGCTTTGTTTGAGTCTTAAGAGAAATATCTGCCAGGCAGTGACGGTCTAGCAAAGCTTTTTTTATTGAAAACAGCTGCCTGTTGTTTCTAGTTTCAAATAAATAAAAGCTGTGGGCCATAAAACCAAAACACTGAAATTGATTAATCCAGTGTTAATAAAAAAATAATGATTAGTGCAGCTTTAAGTAAAGAATCTTCCACTGTTGTGAAACCTAGTAGTACAACAATAATCTCAGACATTCATGTAACACGGTTCAGTCGTATATTTTTCACCGTTAGCAGTGAAAAACTCCTTCACGTGTTGTCTATTCCTAAAAAAGAAACACCTTTAACCTGCAGTGCACGGTGTTGATAGAGCTTTGATACCTTCTTTTCGCATTCCAACACGAAAACATTTCTTCAGACGACAGTATTGGCACTGGTTGCGGTGATGCTGGTCGATTTGACATTCTCGATTTGATCTGCACAAAGGGGAAAAAAAAGAGGTGAGTTTCCAGTACGGAAAAGGAAGTGAAGCTTGCATTTACATCTTAGTCTCCCCCCTTTGTTCCCCCCC